ATATATATATATATAGAATTTATTTTACATGAAAGAACAAGCTACTTTCGCTATATGTTTGATTAGTAAATATTTTCTAACTTTTATAGAGTTTCATATTGATTTGAAATTTGATAATTATAACGTTCGTGTTTCGTTACAGTGTTGATGAATTTTTGAATTTTTTTACATAATACACGTAATACAATTTATTCATAATTTTTCACATAATGTAGTATCGAAATTATTATAATGTGTAGTTATATTTTTAGTTACTTTTACTTTTAATAGATAGCCTGTTTGTTGGAAATGCGTGAACGAGAAAGTATGAATGTGATGTGAGAAGCACAGTATTGGCATCGAGCGCTTTTCTTTTTGAAAAGAGGAAAGTGCGAGTGAAAAAAATAGAGTCAGGGCAGTTGTAAAAGAGCGTTGAATGAGAATGGTCAAAAGAGTGGCCATTTGTGTTGTATAAAAGAATTAATTGTGTCGTTTGAATTTATTCGAATTATTGTTGTTTGTGTTCTCTATCTTATATTATTTTTTGTTTTGTTTCCGTTTTCTTTGTTATTTAATATAATGAACATCATTTAAATTATATCACTACAATAATACAAAAAATTTTCACATAATACAAAAATACTTCTGTATGGTGAATATAATACTTTGTGAGCTTCTGTATCTGATTATATAGAGTGGCCACTGAAAGACTGAATGATATTAAACAAAAGTAACTTTTACAAACACATGTTTTTTTAAAATTTTTTATTATTTTATTTGGAAATATAATTAATGGATTTATTATGTGTGAAAACGACATTCCCCAAATAACCATCATTTTCCTGCTCACAAATACTCTTTTCAAACTTTTCAGTTTTTCAGTGGCCACTCTATAGAAATATTATGTACTCTATATATTTTGATAAAATTGAAAATTCTTTATTTTTATTCGAAAACTAATACTATATTACAAATTAAAATCATTATACCTTACAGACACAATGCAGTTTATGATTGAATCTTAGAAGAGTCTGTTGAAAAATTGTCCATAAATTGCGTTAGAAATTGTTTCCTATTACTTGCCTGAGAATATAACAATACAGTGAAGCAACAAAATTTGCCTGCCGTAAGTTTTAACGGTGATGACGTAGCTCGGCACATGATGATTATGAGTAATCCTGCATCCTTAGGAGGTAAATTGTACCACTCGCAATTGTACGCTGTGTCAGCTATATCTGTACTCTAAAAAATTACAGGCATTAATATATGTTGAAATCTAATAGCGAAATTATCTAAATTCTTGTCTAACAGCGACTAATTAATTTTTCTTTCATAAACGATACCTCAACCGTGAGTTTCTCGCCCACATAACAATATAGATACAATTGCATCATCACGTAAACTATATAGATACACAAGAATGCAATTTGGAAAATCATGTATCGCTCTGCTTCCTCTCCAAATGACTATAAATTAAATTATATCAGAAAAGATGTGTATTGCTTTATAATAGCTTTCTTTTTTTTCTCGTATGAATACAAATTTAGAGAAAAATATGAGTTTTTTCATACCATGATAGCTTGGAAAGATTGGAAGCATAGTTGAATGGTGCAACCGAGCATTTGAATCAGAAGCATCACGTTGAAACAATTCTCTATCGTTTCCGCGAACCTTAGAGGTATATACACATATGACACAATTAATATATGTTAGAAAAAAATTTATTTGTGAGACTTTTACAATTTATTAATTTATGCATCTAAGGGAATTATCCTTAAATGCGTAAATTAATAAATTTTAAACGATAATAAGCGAATAATAATCATGATAATAATTCTAAATAAAAAACAATAAGAATCCAATATGATAAGATAGTAATTAATTTCAAAAATCTCTTTCATTTTGTGATCTCAGAATTTGGGAACTACACTTATATTCTACATTCTCAGTCTTTTATCTTTTTTACCATCTTCAATAGAAGCTATCGTTGTAAACTTCTCAAAAAAGTCTCCGCTGTTAATAATTTTTTTTCAATACAAACCTATTAATATGACCATGTTTTTGAACAATTTTCTTCAACTTCGTCTGTAAATCGCTCTTATCGTGCAAGTGAATGTTCCTTAAATCATCCTTTAGATTCGAAAGCTGTCCACAAGCATGTAAAACCAGCATAGCGATAAAAGTATCCACAGATGTATACGCGATAGATGCATATGTAGCAGCTATGACTTGACCGATCGCTGTCAGTTCGTAGTTTGGGCTAATGCTTATATTATAGGGGAAATAGCCACGGAAGAGCAATTTGTTCTCATTATTAGAACATAATCGTAGGGTCACGTAACAGACGAGTATGAATTGGCACATTATCGTGCATCTTGTCGTTATCTTTTTAGCGATTCTCGCATTGTTCACCATTGTTTCTCGTTCGGTTTGCGTCTCCGCTATCGCCCAATCTTTGGCCATGCACTTCAACAGAGACTTCAATGCTTGCAAATAGAGAAAATGCTAGAGTATATCTTTAGTTCTATAGAGTATATCTAAAGTTCGTTTTTCGAGTAATAATAAAATTTAAAAATTGTGAGAATACTTTTAATTCGTTAATTAAATTGCAAAACCTAGACATCATAAGCCTAGAATTTTACAAACCTAGAGATCACAAACCTAGGAAATTTCACAACTCTAGGAAATGTATGTTTTTTGAGTTATTAGAATTTGATTAGAAAATAGAAATAACATTCTAAAATCAGTATTACTTTGGGCAATAAAGTATAAAATATAATAAATTTCTCTCTAAATTAAGAGCGAATGCGGTATAGTGTTTTTGTTAATAAAATATAGAATAGGGGAAATTTCATCGCCAATAAAAATTGAATACAATTTATATGAAATTCTTACATTTGCCATTCATCCAAAAAGTCATGGATTTCACAAGCGAAATGGTAATGGTCATGTTAGCCATCGATAAATTCTCGACCACCAGATTCAGGTCATGTGCGATGAGGGGCAGATTAATAGTTTGTGGAGCACACGCGAAACACAGCATCGTGAGAAATGGTAACAGGATGACGTAACTCGAAAATCTTTTCCATTTCCTCTCTTCCGGCCAGATACCCGCGAACTTCATCGTGTAACGGTTCCAACCGTACTGATAATTCAAATCTATTACAGATAGATATTTAAAAAATCATTATGTAATATCTCCTTTTTCTCTGTCTGTAATGTAATTTAAAAATGTGACTTCTATTTTTTACTTTGCTTGATATATATTTTAGTGTTACTTACCAGTTCTAGTACCATTTCTTATTTTATTTGAAATCTGTTATAAATGGCTGTTTAAAAGTAATTCTGAATCGCGAAGTAAAATACGTGTTATTT